CACTCACATAAAAAGGTGAGAAGCACCCTCAAACAAAGGGAAGAACTCTCGAGAGAAAGAGAGAGAAAATAAAAAACTCTCAGGGCTAAACATCATTTTCTTGTTACAATTATAGAAAATATTTTATTCTAAATTAGGTAGATTTTCACAACGTATTTCATATGTGCACAAGATTTTAGTAGTAATGCATCAGATATAAACATGTCATGTTGCATATGTGACCATTGGTGCAGGGATTAGTAGCTCAAATATTCTCATTTGGGATGGTACACGTCCTTTTTGTGCACCCCAAACCCTTTACTTTGATTGTACTGGTACAGACAGTACTATGTCATTTCTTGGTATAGATAGTACTATGTCATTTCTTGGTATGGATATTTTTTTTTTAATTTCGACCAGGTTGAAATCTTTGAAAAGATTTTTATCGAGGTGTTGACACTAAAAACTATTAAACCTACGTGGCGCGCAGGCCGAGTAATTAGTAAGTTAACTACGTCCTTCGGTTGTATGCGGGGCGTGCCAACTCGACGGCTGAGCTCGACCGGTGAGTAAAATTTGTTGATGTGGTGTTGGGCGCGCTGCTAACTTCTCGATCTTGCAACTGTGGCCAAGGAAGGAACACTCTCGGCCTTCGGGTTCTAAAGCCTGAAAATAAGGCTACTAGTTCTGCGAAGTTCACAAATTGTTAGCGCCGGACTCGGTCACAGTGATTATATTCATAAGAGTATAAGCACATCAAATCGACACCAGAGTATAAGGACACAAGTACTCAAAACAAATGTACGTCTTGATTGTGATAGTGGTTCGGCTGTCAGAATGCCGAACTCTAAAACCTACTTGAGAATAACCAATCATAAACAACTTGGCGTTCAATATGCCGAGCCCAGTAACTCGTAACACCTCACTTCGCCAAGAAGGCTAATGAGATGACATCTGCCAAGAAGGACTTAAAAACCCTTCTTGACCAAGACTTGGATAGACAACCAGTCGGCCTCGATGCAGTGCTGTTTATTCAAACTAAAGGTGCTCCACAGTCGGCTGATTCTACGGCAACAGTGTTGTTTATCCAAACTAAAGATGTTCACCGGTTGCCTTCACAATGCTGTTTATCTAAACTAAAAATGTTTCGGTGAAAGAAGAAAATAAAAAATCTCAAGGTTGTTGAAAGGTTTCGCGAAAGCGAGGGTTTGCGCAGGTAGGTTGTGTGTTGAAAACTAGAGAGTTTGTTCGATGTCCTCCCTCCCTGTTTATAGTAGCCAACCTGTATTGAATCTCAATCATTCTCGGATTAGAACTTTTTTTCCCGATCCATCCTTATCTCGGCCAGTCCTACTCCTACTAGGACTTTAAGCTTAGCTCGTTATCAGGCCATATTCAATCTCCAACTTCAACATCCTTATCCTGTCGAAACTCCTTCTCACAATAGGACTCACCCACATCCCACAAGTTCTCGATAGGACGCGGCCAGCTTCGACTGTGCGGCCCATGAGCCGGGTAACCCCCAATGACACTTAAACACGGCCTCTTAGGCCGAGAACAATTCTAAACTCGGCCCAAACCAATATTTTTGGGCCCAAACAAAAGGCTTTTGTACTTATTCATTTACCGCATCAATGAATATCATGCCAGTTTAAAAAACAAATATGCACTAAGAGGAGAAAGATGATTTGAACACAAGACACAACGGGTTGAAAAGAAATATCATATTCACTGAAGCAATCAACCAATTGCAAAACCCTGATCCCTGCATTAGTTGCAAAAGACTAGAAACCACCATTTGGTGGTTAATTCAAATTCACAAAAGATAGCCAAAGGAGATGAGTTTGCTGAGGTTGGTAGCTATGCTTTTTACAAAATATTTTCTTTGTGGGGCGGTAAAAAAAAAGTTTTTTTTAGAGAAAGATACTATTTGACCAATCAAGTTACAGGTGTCTAACATATTCATACCTAACGATTTTTCAAAAAATGGTGACGAAAGGGATAACAGAAGCTCATTACTTTTTGTTTCTCTATAATTGGAACTGTAGTAGGGGCTCTACCCATTTATTCACTTGACCAAACCATAAAAATATTGGCAAATTGGCACAAAAGAGAGATAAAATACTAGAAACCTTGACAAGCAAGGAAGATTCTACCATTGGGCTTTGACTTGTTCTAAGTCATCATTTGAGTATATTATAATACTTAGTTCTTAAACGATTTAGGTTTGATTTTTCGATAACAATGTTTAAATGAGTAATATTACATTTATTATATTCTACTTATTATATTTGTATCACCTCTCTAATAAATATAGCGCCCACCAACATATGTGGATTCATCTTTATCAAAGATATGGTATAAATATGGTATGAAAATGTCGTGAGAGTAGACTTTTTATACTTAAATCTACCGTAGAAAGAAGGGGAAATGTTTGAACATTGGTTGAATAAAACATTAAACATCCTAACCATCGAGAAAAACTTATGTGAGGCTTAACTTGTCACTGAACTTTACTGAGTGGCACTACAGTCCACTTAAGAGTCAAAGCTCACCGTGTTGTAAGTTTTAAATATAATCTTTTATAATTTTTTTATGTATTTAGAAATTTCATAATTATTTTCCCTACTAACTAATATATACCATTAGATTGATCTAATGGTTCTTTTTTTTTTCTTTCTCTTTTCCTCCCTCTATTTTTTCATCCCAAATCGGCTCTGCCCTTTGCAGTCTTATTCCCCACTGTCTTTCCCTTTTACATATTTTTTGGAAAGAAAAACTAAAAACCTAATTGGGGAAGAACGACTGCTACATGGTGAAGGGAGAAGAAAATGAGCGGGGAAGAAAAAAGGAAAAAAAAACATGTGCCATTCGATGAATCTAACTGTATATATTAATCAGAAAATAAATTAATCTATCTATACTATTAGAAAATTAGAAGTCAATTTTGGTGTCTCAAGGCTTCATAAAAAATAATCGTACAACAATGCCCCTGAAACAAAAAAAACTGCATTAACTGAAAAGAAATACAGAAATTTTTCACTAAGGTTAGTTTTGTAAGAAAAAGTAATAATTAAAAGAGATTAAACATAAGGAAAATAAGAAAAGAAATTAAACGTGCAAAAAGGAAACATGATCGTAGAGGACTCCAAATAAACTACCGCAACGGAGAAGATAAAATAACTCCCAAGAACTCGCAAATGTACATTGAATATTCCACAAATCCAAAGGAGGAGGGAAGAAGCTTCGTCCCTGCTACTTTGAATGGTTTGGGTAAATTTTAAAAATTATTAGCGGGATTTGTTTCTCTTCCGTATCACTCATTCTATGTTTTTTGTTTTTCTTAACTTTGGTCGTTTTATTGCAGGAAAACTAAGTTGGAACTCAGATTGATTTGTTCATGTGAAATTGGTTATTTTTTTTCCTCTGTTTTTTTAGTATGATGAGTTTGAATTGACGTGAACTTTTGTGTTTGGAAGGTGAATTTTGGTTGAGATAGAATTGGGAACGCAAGTTGATCATGGGTTACTTTGAATTCAGATATGTAGCATGTAATCAGGCAATTTCTGTGGACATACTCTTTCTTCCAACTTCTGAAGTTCGATCAGCATGTGTAAACTATTGATAAAACCATTCGTTGGTTATATATTATGGATACCTTCAAGAGAGAATATAAATTATAGTTTTATTCTCTCCGTTTGCACTATGGACATTATTAATTGTTTATCAGCACGTCATTGCTTCAACAATTAGAATTCTCTTTAAAATCTTTACCTCCCTGTCAAATGTTGGTGTTTTGTTTGTGAGAAATATGATGGTTTACTTAAAGAAATTGTTTGTACCATATTTAGGGCATTCGTATTTAGATCTCGTATAAATACTCGGGGGACTCAAATGTAATTATGTAATAAATGAAGTGGCAAATATGTAATAAGTGATGAGCTCTTATTCTATAAAATGACTCCTCACTCTCCTCATTAGGGGGAGGTCAAGGTTTAGGCCATGGGAAGAGAGAAAACATCTCAGAGAGGGCAAACACAGAAAATAGGTTAGAGAGCACACTGCCTCTAGCCTTCTTGTATATTCACCATTCAGAGTGAAACAATATCAACATCAGTGTGGACGTAGCCCAAACATTGGGGTGAACCACGATACATCTTGTGTTCTTTACTTTCTTGCAGATTCACGGTCGGTTTTGTGTTGTTCCAAGACCCTTCCGATTTTGTGCATCAACAGAAGTTAATATATGTTTAGATTTATCTACATTTTGATTGAAGTAGGGACATCGTAGTTCATGGCTCCACAACTGGCAAATTACAATAGTCGAGGAGTGTTTGAAAAATAGATGCGAGGGAGCAAATGAGTTTGGGATTTCAAAGAACTACTACAATTTGTGGATGTGTTTTACTTATCGTACAATTTGGAATTTCAAAGAACTACTACAATTTATGGATGTGTTTTACTTCTCGTACAAAGCTTTCAGAAATGTAAGTAGAGCCTACTATTACTTCTGATCTAAAGTCACATAATAAATAAAATAATAAATGTTGTTTGTAGTCACAAAAGTTTTTAAATCCGCCCGTAGCGCACTATATTAAAAGAAAGTCCTCTCACATGTGGGAAAGCGCAGGCAGAAAGCCAGAACCCTACCTTTGAGAGTTACCGGCCCTTGAATGGATGAATTGTGGGTAAACAATGTCTTTGTATTTTACTAATTCCATTTGTTTCTCTTGTAAGTTAATCATTTCTTTTGTATTTGAGGGACTTAAAGTTCATTGTTTTGGAATTCTAATATTAGAAAGTCGGAAGTCAAATTTGGTGTCTCAAGGCTTCACCAAAAATATTGAACTATAAAACCCCTCAAACAAAAAAATTTAACTCACGTGATTTACTGTTAAAAATATGAATAAAGGATAGAAATGTCCAAATAAAAAAATAAAAAACAAAAGCAGAAAACACAGGAAATAAAAAATAAACTAAAAGGAAAAACATGGAAACACGAAAGTAAAGGAACCCAAGTTGCAGACTAGCGGTTCCAGTTCACTTGATTGTTGCAACCTATATAACTGTTGCATACGCACTCATTAACTGCATAAGAAATTAAAAACCTACCCAGTTGGTAAGCCATTTGATTCTCATGTTGGATTTTTTGGTTTATCTCTCTATCTTTCAAAGTTTTCTCCACATATATGTTCTCGAATGCAAAGAGTCAATTCCTTCTCTCCTTCTTTAATTTGGCAGATGGGGTTTTCAATTTGATTCTCCACCCAAGACAGAGAGTCCATGTGTAAAGAGAGAAGGCAAAGAGGGTCTGGCATTTGGACGGCGACGATTGAGTTGTTGCTGCTGCTCAAAAAATGGATTGCAACATGGACAAGTACATATCAATTCCCCTTCTCATTCTTTCTATCATTTTAGCTTCTGGGTACTTTCGGATGTGGGTTTTTTGCTTTCTGATTTACTTGGTGGTTCATTGTTTTGTATTTTTAGCATAATTTTTTCTACTGTATGGCTTAAAGCAAAATGCCCAAATGAGGATTATCATATTCTGCTAATTTAGCTTAATATTTTATGTAGTTAAGTTGCTGCTTGAGTATCATTAAAGTAAGAAAATAGCGTTGCTATAGCGTAAGAGGAGAGAAGAGAAACAGTTGAGTCATCCTCTTCCTGTTTTAGGTAACATAGTTTCGTCACTTTCATTTTTCCTTATCTCCATAATTTTTTTTAATTCATTTATTCTAATATTCATTTTTCGTTCATGGGTAATTATAGTGGACGGAAATGCAAGGCAAAATTACACCTATTAGGATTTACAAAACTCGGGGCCTGATCCCAAGCTCACAATATGACTACTTTGAGTTCTTATAGTGATGCACTCTGTATAGTCTCTTGCTATCAATTCATTTATTCATATAATAAAGAAAACATGTCAGTGAGGCATTACATTTTGTCTAATTGCATGCTAATCAGTTAGACTTTCCACTGCAGAGTCAATCCCATGATAATAGAATGATACCTGTTGAATATACTTCATTTGTATGATTATCGGAGCTTATCCTATGCATCATTGACCTTCTCATTGTATGGATGTATACTTGACAGAATGTGGGGGACGGTTTTAGATGGAGGAACCAAAGTTGTTCTGCAATATCTCAAGGACAAATTGAAATGACTAGAAGATTAGAGACATACACGAGGGAAATTGCAAAAAATTATTGGTAGGTTCTTTTTGGTTATATAATCTCTTACCTTTGAGATTAATCAGTTTTGGATCATTTTACTTCCATTTCAAAATGGCAGTTACTAAACACAATAGGTTTCACTTTCACTACCAATTCATATGTAGTTTGATGTTTAACTCTTATTTCCAGACTAAGGGTGTCAAATTCTAAATGATGGAGAGAGTCACTAGGGTGCTAACAGGGCCGGTCCAGAGATTTTTGAGGCCCGGGGCGACGTAAAAAAAAGTGCCCTAACTTCATGTAAGAAAATTATTTATTTTCACACACAAGACATCAAAAAAATTATACTTAGAAAAACACTTCAAACTCAATAATTTAGAAACACAGACAAACTAATTTATTTTGTATTGAGAGAGGGAAACAAAAAAACTTCGGGCTTACAAGTAGATAGATGATGAGTTTTGTTTTCCATTTGAACTTTGAATGTGTTTTTGAATAAATCGTGAGGTGTTTTTTCTTATTTACTAACCTTGTCAATATGGGACTAAAAAATAATGATGTTTTTGAGTCTTACTAAATTAAACATTTTGATGACACGTCATATAATTTGCAAATTTGGTCTACGTATTATTCTTTGTTGAAGATTAGACTTGAATTAAAACGAATATTTAAAAATAACAACCCACATAGCTACTAGATAGTAACTAAAAATAAATTACCAACCAAACAAAAATTTGTAAAAATTGAAAAGAATAAACATGCACATAGCATTTCGAACTTAGGACCTCTTGTTAATTTTAAACAACAAAAATCATTGTTTCTAATTAAACTTCTTGATCCTTTAACCAAATTTTCTAAATTTATACTCTTATAAAAAGAAATTTGTAAAAAAAAGGAAAGTAAATAAGCACACATGATGTTTTGAACCCAAGACCTCCTTATTATTTTCAAATGACAAACCACCACTTCTAGTTAAATTTCTGTGTCTTTGAATCAAATTTTATAAATTTATACTCTTATAAAAACATATATAAATATACTGCCCTAATAATTTTGGTGCCCCTCATTTTTTTGGGCCCTGGACGGTCGCCCCTCCTGCACTGGGCCTGGGCCGGCCCTGGGTGCTAATCTCTACTACCGACCTTGAGATTAAGTTCTCCCACTGCCCACACACACATGGTGTAAAGCGCAAACTACACGCTCTTCGCTTTGCTTCAACCGCCAAAATCCTTGAGCATTCATCGCAAACACTAAAAAATATGGGGCAGTTCTTTCAGGTTAAGTTGTATCAAAGACTCCATTACCTAACCTAGATCCTCTAATTCAAAAACTCTAATTCAATAAGCAAGCAAAGCTGTTGAAATCTCCGAAATTGCACCTGAATTGGAACATTTGGTTTGTCTCTTTCCCCTAATTTTTTGGTTCGAATTTAATCGAAATTTCAATTCGCAAATAAATTTTATTATGTTTTTGAGAATTTAAATCCTTTGTAGTGCAACTCAAGAAAATTTAGTGATGAACTCTCACATGACAATTCAACAATTGCTCTAAATAATTATGTTAATTGACTTAAGTCTTAACTTAATTATTTTTTTCACTTGTCCCCATATCCATTCCGCTTTATTAATCCAATATTACCAATTCACTTAACTCCCAACATATTATAATACGCGACATGCACATTGGTCCAACTTGTCTTTTCCACATTTAAATAAATAATTTTAGGGTAAATTACATAGTAGCCCCTCATGTTTGAGCTCTATTGCAATCTCATACAACATCTTTAAAACATTTCACTTTCATACCTTAAGTACTATTTTATTTCAATTTCATACAACCGTTAGATTTTCCATCCATGGATCTGTTAAATGCTGACGTGGCTGCCACATATATGACACGTGGCTGCCAAATGTCTGCCACGTGGCAAATAAAATAATTTTTTAATTTAAAAAAAAAAAAACATATTTGTCACTTTTTTTTTTCTCTCTCTTTCTTCTTCTTCTCTCTCTCTTCTTCTTCTGGGTTCGGACCTTTTTTTTTTTTTTCTCTCTCTCTTTCTTCTTTTTCTCTCTCTCTCTCTTCTTCTTCTGGGTTTGGACCTTTTTTTTTTTTTTTTTTTTTTCTTCTTCTTCTTCTTCTTCTTCTTCTCCCTCCTCCTCCTCTTTCTTCTTCTCTTCTTCTTCTTCCTCCTTCTTCTGGGTTCGGTCCCTTTCTTCTTCTTTTTTTCTCTTTCTTCTTCTCTTTCTTCTTCTTCTTCTTCTTCTTCTTCTCTTTCTCTTTCTTCTTCTTCTGGGTTCGGACCTTTTTTTTTTTCTTCTTCTTCTTCTTCTTCTTCTCCCTCCTCCTCCTCTTTCTTCTTCTCTTCTTCTTCTTCCTCCTTCTTCTTCCTCCTTCTTCTTCTGGGTTCGGTCCTTTTTTTTTTTTTTCTCTTTCTTCTTCTTTCTTTTCTCTTCTCTTCTTCTTCTTCTCTTTCTTTTTCTTCTTCTTCTGGGTTCGGACCTTTTTTTTTTCTTCTTCTCCCTCCTCCTCCTCTTTCTTCTTCTCTTCTTCTTCTTCCTCCTTTTTCTGGGTTCGGTCCCTTTTTTTTTTTTTTCTTCTTCTTCTTCTTCTTCTTCCTCCTCCTCCTCTTTCTTCTTCTTCCTCCTTCTTCTGGGTTCAGACCCCTTTCTTTTTTCTTTCTTTTTTTTTTCTTCTTCTTCTTCTTCTTCTTCCTCCTCCTCCTCCTCTTTCTTCTTCTTCCTCCTTCTTTTGGGTTCGGACCCCTTTCTTTTTTCTTTTTTTTTTCTTCTTCTTCTTCTTCTCTTTCTCTTTCTTCTTCTTCTGGGTTCGGACCTTTTTTTTTTCTTCCAATTTTAGGTTTTTAAAAAAAAAATTAAAAAATTATTTTATTTGCCACGTGGCAGACATTTGGCAGCCACGTGTCATATATGTGGCAGCCACATCAGCATTTAACAGATCCATGGATGGAAAATTTAACGGTTGTATGAAATTGAAATAAAATAGTACTTGAGGTATGAAAGTGAAATGTTTTAAAGATGTTGTATGAGATTGCAATAGAGCTCAAACCTGAGGGGCTACTATGTAATTTACCCATAATTTTAATCCATATCCTCCACCTCTCAATCGCTTTCTGCTGAGTTGTTGCAAAGATGATGATGGATTAAATATATAAATACCACTTCAATAAAAAGAAAAGAAAACTAATAAAAATGGTTTAAAAACTTTGAGTTTTAACGATAAGGACAAAATAAAGGGTAAAGTGAATAGTAACAAGTTTGATTTTTTAGTGTAAAAATGTGGTTTTTCGTTAAAGTGAACAGTACTGTGGACTTTTCGTTAAAACTCTCTAAAAAGAATTTGGATCCTTTTGGATTCTCTTTGTGATGATTCCGGAGATCCGTAAATTATATATGTTCATCGTACATCGTGCAGTCAAAAGTCATTTTAAATATTTTTATTTAAAATTAAATACAAATAGTACCTAACAAAAATTAACCTCACGATGTACCATGAACGAACACGATTTACGGATCCTTAAGATCCTCACTAAAATGATCCGATGAGGATCCTGTTGGTAATAAAAAAAGATAAAACAAAATTAGGTCGTGTGAAAAGAGAATAACTTAATTGAAATGAGTTCAACTAGATTATGACAATTCAGTCAAATAATATGATGTTATATATATATATATATAGAGAGAGAGAGAGAGAGAGAGAGAGAGAGAGAGAGAGAGAGAGAGAGAGGGAGAGAGAGAGAGAGAGAGAAAAAAATGCCACTGTTGTGGGCATAATATACTAAAGAGAGAGATGTGTAATTGTGAGGTGTGTGTTATCTCACACCATTGTGCCTTTATTCTTACTAGTAGGGAAGGTTAAATCCTTACCCTAATTGGATTACAACTCTAATAGGATAATATCTAATCCTAGAGAATATTCCAAGATATTCCTAGATACACTAAGATTTACACAATCACATTCCTAATCTAATAAGACTGCAACAATTCCCCTTAAGTATGTAAATACTTAACTAAATGGCGCATCAGGTCTTTAGCAATGAAGTAAGTTCAGTTGATGAAGTCATCGGCACAATGTGTAACGACCCGTCCCCAATTATTATGATTTTTATAATTTTAAAAGGTGAATTTACGAAAATGCCCTTCGAGACAAAAGTGTTGACTTTTGTTGACTGTCGTGTCGTGTCATGTAAGGTTTATTTTCTTGGCCTATCCTCGTAGTACTTGTTGCTACGAACGAGTGGGTGCAAACAGATCGTGATTTGGAGTTATAACGAAAGAGATATTAACGAATGAAGTCGAGGGCAAAATTGTAAATTTATTTATTTCTAGAATGCTTCAGATTTTTAGAGCAAAATCTGGTAGAGCCACGTGTGTGGCCTAGATTAAAAGCAAGAAAGATGGTCGGTGGAGATGGAGGATAAATGAGAGAAATAAGGGAGGAACCGAACCAATGAGGAAATGAGAAAATGAGGAGAACTTATGGGAAAAGAGGAAAGGAGGAAAAAGGAGGGGAACCGAATTGGTTTCCCCTTAACCCGTGACCCGGTGGTGACCCTTGTGTTTCTCCGACGAAATTGATTGTTTTTCCGATGAATTAAGCCGATCTACAACTCTTAACCATCATCTCTACCCTTCCTTTATCATTTCCACATCAAATTTCAGGAGATTAGGTTCGGAATTGGGAAGAAATACACCGGTGGGTGCGACGGCTTCAGGGTGGTGATCCATCAAATCCGAAGGTAACTCCGTCAACCACCACCACCATTAGACTCCTCTTGAGTTCAGGAATGAAGCCTAGATGTTGGTTGAGATGTTGGAGTGAGTTTAAAGGCCAAATCAAGAATCACCTTTATAGGGTTTTCGGCAGGTTTGGATGAAATTAAGGCTTTTCCCGTCCAAATTGGCTTTGGTCGCAAGTGCCAATCATTCGTGACGCCTTAATGTTTGTGCTAGGGAGTTGTAGCGCGGACTCCAAGTGAGTGGGCTTTTGGTTTTCTATATATACATATATATGTTTTACATCTTCCCAGAGACTATTTTAAGTAAGCGTATATTTTTAAGTGTCATGTCATGCTTGCATTTCATTTTAGTATATGCATTAGTATGTATATGCATAACATTGTGTGACGCTGCAGAGGCCAGGTAAGTTTCAGGTGAGTACTATTTGATGTTAGTAGTTGCATTGTTTATGGTTATACGTAGATGTATTTACAGCTCATTATCCTGCACTTTAGTATTAATGCTCCCGCCCGTGGCCAGGGCATAGTCATTTACGTGATGTT